CAGTGAAGTTACAGGGAGGGTCTCAAGGGCAGGTGGGCAAACACTCAAGGGCTGCTGCAGAGAGAAGAAGAGGGTGTTAACTAGGAGACTCAAAACCACTTCCACTGGGAAATGAGAATAATTTCCTCATTCAGGGGACCCAAGCCTCAAATTGCTCTTTCTAAAGGGAGGTGAATCATGAGAGGGTTTCATGCAGAGAAGCATGATGGGGGGATTCCCTCCCAAGGGGCAGGAGTCCACAGCAATCACAGTCAATTGTAACAGCTCATGTTTATTGTTTGACCAGCTTGATATGTACCATCACCTTGATGCTCCAATAGTACTGTACTGTTATTGGTTCCGTTTTAGAAGGGGGAAACCTTGAGGGGCAGGAAAGGTCATTTCCCCAAAGCCATGTAGCCAGTAAAGGGAAAGCAGGTACTGGATTCCAGATCTCTGATGCCAGGACCTGTGGCCATTCTACTGCAACAAAGCTGCCTTGTGATGAAATCCTAGTGTGTCAGTAGCACTACCATAAGGTAACATGAAATACTGAACAAGTGCTTTCTACATTCTAAGTACGCTTCCAAGTCCTTTACATGTGTTGACTCAGTGGATCTTCCCAATAACTCTAGAAGATAGTTACAATCATTAACTCTTACAGAGGAAGAGACTGAGGACCAGAGTACATTAATCTCCTAAAGTCATACCAGTAGAAAGTGGCAGGGCCCAGAGTTAAAGGCAGGCAGTAGGCCTCCGGTATGCAAGCTGTTAATCCCTACAACATGCTGTCTTTCAATATTTCTGTCTCAAAAATAAAGGAAGGCCCCCACCGCACCTTACAGTAGGAACAGACTTTGCCCCACCCACTTCCCTGAGACCCCACCCCAGGACCAGCCACTGGCATTTACTGAATGCTGACAGCCCGGTACTGGGTGCCTGACCTGGCTTGTCTCACCCAAACTCACAGCCTTGTAAGATGAGCATCACTACTATTCTCACTTAATGGACAGGAGGTCTAAGGCCGAACCATGTCCCTCTTCTGCCCAAAACCTGCAGCGGCCCATTTCACGCAAAGGCAAAGTCCTTATGATGACCTGCACAGTCCCCATGGCCTCCTGGCTGTCCCTCCAATGAGCTGATCCCATGCTGCCCAAGGGCCCTTGCACTGGCTGCTGCTGCTGCCTGGAAAGCTCTGACTCCCCACACAGACATCTCTCCCACCCTCTCACCTCCTCACGTCTTTGCTCAAAGATCATCTTCTCAGTGGTTCTCCAGGGCCACTATAACCGCCACCCAGACGAGTAGTCCTGCTTCCCCAGCCTCCTCCCCTGCCCTCCTTGCCAGCTGTGTCACCCAATAAGCCATATATTCTTCTTCTTGTCTTGTTTTTGGCCTCCCCCCTAAAAGGGGAGCGCCATGCAGGCAAGAAATTTTATCTGTTTTGTTCTAACCCAGGACCTAGAACAGTGCCTGTCTCAAACAACACTCTTCAAGGCAAGAAATGCGGGTGATTCGCTCAGACACAGGAATGCTGTGGGGCCCAGTGCTCATCCTCTTCACCATCCCACTCCAGGTGGAGGGGAGCTGTTAAGAGCAGCTCCCTGGGTGGGCCACACTTGTCCAGGAGGAGGGAGACTACACACAGGTGTGACTTTTTGGTGCATAGCTTTTGGAGGGACAAGATAATGATAGGAATCTCTTAAAATAAGACTTCCTGCCACCCTCTCATATGTCGCAGCTCCTGTAACTTTATATGCTTACCCTGCTGTGTTTTCTTCACAAACACATATTTTCTTTCTTTTTAACTATCCCATGAGCTAGCATATGCATGCCACAGGGACAGAGGTTTTTGTCTGTTTTGTTCTCTGCTGCATCCCCAGCATGTAATAGGTGCTCACCAAACGATTGCTGAACAAATAGATGAATGGACAAATGAAGAACATTCTGGGCTTAGCAGCTGACAAAGGCCAGATAACTGATTACAAAGCCTTCACCTCCAAGGCCCTTCTCTCCCTCCTTCTTCCCTTTAATTCCTCTGCTCCAACCTCATTGGACTCTTCTGCCACCCCTCCACTCACAGTGATCACAACCACCTCAGGGCCTTTGCACTTGCTGTTCCTCCTGCCTGGAACAGCTCACCAGAAGAGATCTTTGCAAGGCTGTTACATCTTCTAATTCAGGCTTCACCTGAGTAGCTCATAGGATTCTCAGAGAGCCCAAAAAACAGCATTTATCTTTGTTTACTTGTTTTTGAGCTGTCTATTCAACTAGACTGTAGAAACCCCCACAAGGAGACTGTGTATGTCTCCTTCACAAATGTATGACCCAGACCTGTAACAGTAAATATTCGTCCATTGAAGAACGAATGAATGAACGCCCAGAGGAAAACGACTTCATACTCTAGTGAAGCTGGGGGTCTCCTCTAGGGGGTCCAGGAGGACAGGGTGACAGCTGGGTGGGAAGGGAATGGGTCAGGAGGAGAGCTGTTAGTGCAGGGGGAAGAGACGCCTTCTGAGAGGGAAAGGCTCACTGTGGGGCTCTGTTCAGTGGGATGACTGAAGACGGGATCTGACTGGGATGAGGTGGGTGGCAGGCTGGGCAAAATTATTTCATGGGAGCCTGATGCTAAACAGGCAGTTATTTCTACTTGAGAGTTGGAGATGTGGTTGTGCAAGCAGAACTCTAGAGGGAGCTGTTTTATGGGGATGGGGGTAAAAAGGGGTACTCTCAAAAGGAGAATTACTGGGGTGGGGAGTCCAGAGGATAAAAAGGCATTCTTGCCCGCTGACCAGAATACAGAGTATTTTCACATTAGGAGGCGGCGTGGGGGCGGGAGGTTTCGGGGATAAAGGGGGGTAGATCGGCTGTAATGCACCGATGCAACCCTGGAGACAACCTACAGGGGATGCTAGCGTAGGCTAACGGGTAGCTGCCCTGCGTGGGGGAGGGCACGGCGGCATGTGGGGGCAGTCCTGGAGGAAGCAATGACGGGGGGCAATGTAGAAGAGACCCTACGAGAACGCATGGGTGGGGGGCCCTGGCAGCAGTTTAGGCATCGCCACGAAGAGGGCGCTCTGGAAGCGGTCCTACATGGGGGGCTAATGGGGCAGATGTCTGGAGCGGTCTTCCAGGGGAGCAGTGACTGGGGGCCTGAGGGCCGGGGCCCGGCGAGAGGAGCACTGATGGGGACGCTCCGGGTACCAGAGCGGGACACCCCGCCCCCGCAGCCCCGGGTCCCGGACCCCTGCGCTCTGTCACTCACCGGCGCCGGGGTCTCCGCCGGGAGGAGGCCGAGAGGCGGAGGAGGCGCCGCCGCTCCGGGGAGACCCAAGGGCCCGACCGGAAGTGCCGCCCCCTCCCCTCCCCGGCAGCCCCGCGCCGCCTGCCTGCCCGCCCGCCCGGAAGCGGAAGTCGCGCCCGTCTCCGCGGCGCCGGCGTGGAGGAGAGGAGACAGGCGGCGGCGGCGGCGAGCCCAAGGGGAGGTACGCCTGCGCACTAGCTAGAGGAAAGCCGAGGCAGCTTCCGGTGAGCGAGCTGAGCAACATGCGCCTGCGCTCTGTGCGCCCGCCGCTTCTCAGGGCACCGCCCACACGCTGAGGACGCACAGTTTCATCGCGCCGCTCACGTCAATCTCAACCTCAAGCCCCGCCTCCTGTTCTGATTCACGCCCGTCACTTAATTCTTACAAGCCCCGCCCACCGCTTCCAAACCTGGGCTTCTCTAGCCAGCCCCAACTAAGTTTCTCCTGTTTTCCCGCCTACAAGCCCCTACTCTCTGGAACTCCACCTCTCCTCTAAGCCCCGCCTTTCTCTAAGCCCCGCCCAGGGCTCCTGGGTCAGGGCCACGCCCCCTGGTTAAGACGCGCCCCTTCCGTCCACAGCATTTCTGCTTTACCTCTCTCACATTTCTGCTCCAATTCTGCACCTCCAAAGCATTTCTTTAAGTCAGTGGTTCTGAAACTATGGCTTTCGGAGACCAGTTGCAGTGACACCACCGAGGAACATGTTAGAAAAGTACATCTCAGGTCCCCTACCCCAGACTTACTGAACCGGAAACCCTGGAGGTGGGGCCTACACACCTGTGTTTAAACACCCTTCAGGGGATTTTGTTGCAGGCTGAAGCTACTAACCACAGCTTTTCCACACCTTGCACTGCCCGTCACATACTCTCCACAAATTGCGCCCCTAACTCAGCCCCACCCCAGGCAGCTAAGCCCAGGCCTATTCAGGCCGCCTAAGCTCCTCTGCGTCTTCCTTAGTCCTCTCTTTGGGAGCCCCTTCTCTCCTCTTGGCCTCAATCTCCCTCCCCAGCATCATCTCTTAACACCGAAGTCCTGCCTCTCCTAACACCTTGCTCTCCTGCACTTGCCCACTGAAGCCCCTCCCCTCAGAGAAACCTGTGCATTCCCTCTAAATCTCTCTCTCACCTCCTGCCGATCCACCCCTAAATCAAACCACACCCAAGTTCTCAGCTCCTTCCTCTAAGCCCCGCCCATAGTTCTCACCTACCTGCCCAATGAACCCCGCCCCCTCCAGGCCACACCCCTTGCCTACCTAAGCCCCATCCAAGTTGTCAGTCCTCCCCACAACCCCTATCTCAGTTTTTCCTTCATAACAACGGCAGGACACAGAATGGGGCAACATGGTGACTGCAGATTCCACGAATCTGGCAGTAGGGGAGAGGGACCTAGAATCTCGTTTGCACAGAAGGTTCAATGTTTTACTCAAGAGTGGATATTTATGCGGAGGGCTTTGGGGTCCACCAGAGATGGGAGAGGAACAAAGGCTTCCCCCAAGCCAGCCTTTAGCGCCAAGCCAATGAGGCACATGACATGGGACCCTCCTAAACTTCGAGCACTCCCATCAAGGTGGTATAGCAGTGGAGGGGCATCAGAAGGGTGGAGGAGAGGAGGGCCAACCCTGGTACCATCACTGCAAACACACACACACGCGCGCGCGCGCGCGCGCGCATACACACACACACACACACACACACACACACACACACACACACACGAAGCTGTCGGCAGAGATTTATTTCCAAGGCCCCCGCCTCCAAGGGCCTGTCAGTCCTGGGAAGGATGGCAGAAGGCGGCAGGATCCATAATTTTAAGTCCTCATCCTCTAGACCCTCCCACAGCAGGAAGACCACCAGATATGAGGATGTCCCGGCCTCCCTGCCCAGACCCAGCAACAGCTGAACTCCCAGCTCTAAACCTGGCCGGGGGTGTGAGTCAGGCCAGCTCTTTCCCCTCCGGCTCCTCCTCCGCCTCAGCCCCTGCCATGGCCGGAATGCCTTCGTCGTCCCACGGTGGTTCGGGCCCTGGGTCTGAGGAACACAGGGGTGCCCCCATGGCTTCAGGGTGCTTGCGTTTGGCATGGCGCCGGAGCGTGTTGGCCTCTGTGAAGCGCAGCCGGCAGATGGGGCACTGGTAGGGTCGTTCCCCGGAGTGCACGCGGTGGTGGTGGGCCAGCTCGCCCGCCTCGCGGAAGCGGCGAGGGCAGAGTGGGCAGCGGAAGGGCCGCAGGCCCGCATGGATGTTGCAGTGCCGCCGCAGGTGGCTGGACCGCTTGAAGGTCTTGCCACAATCCTTGCACTCGTGCGGCTTCAGCTCCGAGTGCGAGATGCTGTGGCGTTCCAGGTCGGAGAGGTAGGGGAAGGCCCGCAGGCACACGGGGCAGAAGTGAGGGGCCTTCTTAGGGCCGGAGCCCTCGGGCGAGCCTGCCGCTGACCCTTCAGAGACAGTATAGGGCACGCCCTGATCATCGATCAGCAGGAGACCGCTGCCACCACCGCTGCCTACCTGTGCTGTCACCCCCTGTGCCAGCGGGGGCTCCTGCCCTGACTTGGGGGGGCGGCCCCGCTTGCGAGGGAGGGAGGCCTTGAGCGTCCGATTCGAGGAGGCGGCACCCCCGGGACGCCGGCCTCGGCGGCCCCGGGGAACAGGAGGTAAGGCCAGAGGTTTCTCTTCCTCCCCAGGCAAAGGCGAAGGCAACGGGTCTGGGCTGGGGGTGTCCATTGAGCAGTGGGGGACTTGGGTCTGGGCACTGGAGCCAGGCTAAGAGAAGAGAGGGGCAGCCGTCAGCGCAGGGAGGGTCTGGAGCACCCATGTCCCCCAACACCTTTCCCATCCCTTGGTAGGAGTCTCGACCTGGGCGTGGCTGACATTCACCCGTACGCACAATTACAGCCACGCTGGTGAGCACCATCGCAAGATAAATCTGTACCCATTGGAAAATAGGCACAGTCCTGAGCCACACAGGCTTCTCCCAGGCTCCCTAACCCCTTTCCTGCATCTAGAAGTCCATGGCCAACTTGAGGCCAAATAAAAGTCTTCTAGGAAAGACAGAATCCAACTAAGGGTGCAGGCCAATATTTTGATCCTCAATAGAGAGAGTCCATCAACTCCAGACTATAGAGGCCTCAGAAATATTTTGTCCTGCCTTGTGATTGGTCAAAGTGGTGGTGCGGTGTCAGGACTGGAAGAAGGAGACTGGTGGCAGGTGATTGTTTGGCCCTAAGTCATGGATGGGGAAATACATTGGAGCTGTTAGGAGTCTGGGCTCTGGAGGTGGAAGTTCCTGGTTCTAATTCCCGAGTCTGGCACTTACTCTGTGTAGTCTGGGGCAAGGTGCTCACTTCTCTAAGCCTCAGTTAAGGCCTTTGCAAAACAGGACGAATAGTTCCACCTACTTGCACAGATATGCCATGAGAATAATACGTGTAAAGTGCTCAGTGCTCAGAAGCCCTTATTATCCTGGTGAGTAGCTAAGCTTCACACCAATCCTCGGAATAAGGGTGCATCACTCTCATTTTGCAATTGGGGAAACCGAAGCACAGGAAAACCAAGTTGGCTGCCCAAGCCGTCTGCACCAGTAAGGGGCAGAGCCAAGATTCGAATCAGATCTCAAGGACCCCAGTGGCCCAGGGAATGAGAAGCAACGGATACAAGGGGACGTCCCAGAGTCCCTGCGCCCTGGGTTAGAATCCATCTCTGCCGCTAATTAACAAGTGCTTTGCATCTCTGAGCCAGTTTCTGCTTCTGTAAAATGGATATAGCAGAGTTGTCAGGTGGCAAGTAGTAAGCACACGAAAAACTACCCCTCCCCACCATCGTCAGAACCTGGGACCAGGAGACAGGGGTGTAATGCAAGGGAAGGGACGGGAAGCACAGGTGCACCCCCTCCGAATAGGCATACAGGCTGCGGTCCAGAGGGGCCAATTCTCCGTGATGACAGGTTCTGTCCGGCGGGGGACCGGGGCTAGAACCGGGGTCTCTCCAACAGTGCCCCTCGCCCTCCGCTCGCCCCCGTGCAGGCGCGCGCCTGCCGAAGGCGCGCGGGGCGGGCCCTGGGGGCGGTGGCCAATGAGCGGCGCGCGGGCCGCGGACTGTGAGGCCGCCGGGAAGGGGGTCTGCGCGCGCGCGCCCGACTGGCTCCGCGGGGCGCGAGGTCGGCGCGCGCAGCGGCGGGCGCGGACGCAGTTGCAGGTGTGGGGCGCGCTCCGATGGCGCGCGGCACCGGGCCTCCCCTCCCTCCGCTCCCCTCCCCCCGCCCGGGCCCCCCGCCTCTCGGGTACCTCATTTGCATGTCGCCTGGGCTCGCGAGTGTGCGCGCGCGGGGGCGACGGGGCTGGCGCGTGGGAAGGGGCGGGGGCCAGGGGGCCCTGCCTCTCGGCGGCGCGCGCGGGGCCGGCCCCACCCTTCCCCGCCCCTCCCCCACTTAGTCGGGCCCGCGCCCGCGGGGAACAAAGGGGGCGCCCTGGGTCCTAAGGACCGGTCATACACGAGCAGGCAGACAGCGCCAGCCCACCCGTCGCCCTCGCTGTTCCCAGGCGGGAAATAACCCCACCAACACATCCCAACCACGTAGAAATGTCTTTCCTCCCACAAAGCACCCAGCTGGGTGACCCAATCAAAGACAGATACTGAAAGGATGAAGAGCAGGAAAATGGCTACTAGTTCCCGTAGTTAACATGGCTCCTGACAGGCTTCAAGGGCCCCCGGAGAGCCGAGGACAAGATGGAGCTTGCTCTGTCCTAGCTCTGTATCGCAGTCGGGGAACTTGAATTTCCTTTTTCTCCCGATGCAACTCTACATCGTACCCAGGAGGAGCCTTAGGATCTGAAAAGGAAGTCAAACCTGCTCTTATCTACATTAACACCCGCCAGCGTCTACACTGAGGGAAGGAAGCCGCACTCTGAGCTCGTTGCCCTTAGTCTGTATGGCGCCGGGGGGTCACCCTAACCCACGCCCCTCCCCTGCCCTCACCCAAGATGGCATCAACCTGGCTTCTCTAACCTCTAGTGCTGGGAAAGGGACGGGAAAGAGGGAAAAGTGGGGGCGACGGGGAGGGGAAGCCGAGAGGGCGGACCAAGGCCCCCGCCTCCAAGGGCCTGTCAGTCCTGGGAAGGATGGCAGAAGGCGGCAGGATCCATAATTTTAAGTCCTCATCCTCTAGACCCTCCCACAGCAGGAAGACCACCAGATATGAGGATGTCCCGGCCTCCTTGCCCAGACCCAGCAACAGCTGAACTCCCAGCTCTAAACCTGGCCGGGGGTGTGAGTCAGGCCAGCTCTTTCCCCTCCGGCTCCTCCTCCGCCTCAGCCCCTGCCATGACCGGAATGCCTTCGTCGTCCCACGGTGGTTCGGGCCCTGGGTCTGAGGAACACAGGGGTGCCCCCATGGCTTCAGGGTGCTTGCGTTTGGCATGGCGCCGGAGCGTGTTGGCCTCTGTGAAGCGCAGCCGGCAGATGGGGCACTGGTAGGGTCGTTCCCCGGAGTGCACGCGGTGGTGGTGGGCCAGCTCGCCCGCCTCGCGGAAGCGGCGAGGGCAGAGTGGGCAGCGGAAGGGCCGCAGGCCCGCATGGATGTTGCAGTGCCGCCGCAGGTGGCTGGACCGCTTGAAGGTCTTGCCACAATCCTTGCACTCGTGCGGCTTCAGCTCCGAGTGCGAGATGCTGTGGCGTTCCAGGTCGGAGAGGTAGGGGAAGGCCCGCAGGCACACGGGGCAGAAGTGAGGGGCCTTCTTAGGGCCGGAGCCCTCGGGCGAGCCTGCCGCTGACCCTTCAGAGACAGTATAGGGCACGCCCTGATCATCGATCAGCAGGAGACCGCTGCCACCACCGCTGCCTACCTGTGCTGTCACCCCCTGTGCCAGCGGGGGCTCCTGCCCTGACTTGGGGGGGCGGCCCCGCTTGCGAGGGAGGGAGACCTTGAGCGTCCGATTCGAGGAGGCGGCACCCCCGGGACGCCGGCCTCGGCGGCCCCGGGGAACAGGAGGTAAGGCCAGAGGTTTCTCTTCCTCCCCAGGCAAAGGCGAAGGCAACGGGTCTGGGCTGGGGGTGTCCATTGAGCAGTGGGGGACTTGGGTCTGGGCACTGGAGCCAGGCTAAGAGAAGAGAGGGGCAGCCGTCAGCGCAGGGAGGGTCTGGAGCACCCATGTCCCCCAACACCTTTCCCATCCCTTGGTCGGAGTCTCGACCTGGGCGTGGCTGACATTCACCCGTACGCACAATTACAGCCACGCTGGTGAGCACCATCGCAAGATAAATCTGTACCCATTGGAAAATAGGCACAGTCCTGAGCCACACAGGCTTCTCCCAGGCTCCCTAACCCCTTTCCTGCATCTAGAAGTCCATGGCCAACTTGAGGCCAAATAAAAGTCTTCTAGGAAAGACAGAATCCAACTAAGGGTGCAGGCCAATATTTTGATCCTCAATAGAGAGAGTCCATCAACTCCAGACTAT